ATATTAATTAATCGTTGAAATAAAATGATACAATTCATATTAGAAGTATATATTTTACTTACGTAATTAAAATATAAAAGTCAATGGAAATTCCTTTTTTAGTTCACACCAACTCTACAAAATTGTAAGACGCTTTTAATATAAAATTTTCTTAATTACCATCTCAGAGCAGGGTTGACATATATTAAATTATTATAAATAAATAATCTTAAAGAAAAACGTTTATTTTACTATAATATCACTGACTTTATAAATGTATATAAAAAATGTGAATGGAGAGCATTTCGAGGTCTCAGCACGAAATGGTTGAACATAAAAGTTTATCGTTTGTTTGGCACACCTCTTATTCATATTTGTTATGATAATTAATAGTATTTCCAACCTTCAGATCATCCTCGATTAGTACATATAAAAAAAAAAAAATCATTTAATTAAATAATCTTAATCATCTTTAATTATTTCTTCTAATATAAACAATTTAGATTGAAAATAAAAAAAATTGTTAGTAAAACAATTTAAAATAATATAAACATATAATCATAATATGATTAGTATAATAAGCTTTTGGTTAAATAATTAAATATAACTAATATTATAATGCTAAACTTTTAACTTTAACTTTAATTATGTCTTAAAATTTATTTATGATAATTTTAAAACGTTATAAATTTCCAATCTGAAAATTCAGTAGTTAAAATTAATCAAAGTTTCACAGTCATATATTTACTTATACATAAGTTACATATTATATATAGATTAGTTGTCCTCCCCATGATTATACATCCATTCTTAAAAGCCTCGGATTTATCTCATGAGCTGATAGGAGACATCATGACAATCTTAAGTTTTTATCTAAGCTTTTATATGGTAATATTGATTCCTCTAGTCTCCATTCATCTATATCATTCAAGGTCCATTCCTGTAGGAGAGTCCATACATATTAATATTATATTCCTCCTACCACTACACTCTATGGTTCAAATAGACTTTTTGTGCGTTTATGTCCTTTGTTAACCCCGACGTTTTTTTCTCAATTTTTACCAATTCAATTAGAATTGATGAAAACATGATTTACCACCAACTTTATTATTATTAAGTGTATATACTGAATAATAATAAAGTTGTTAGTTGTATACACGTACACGTAAAGTTATTTACACGTATACGTAACATATATTAATTATTTTCCTCCTTTATATTATCATACAAACGTTTTATATTAGTAAATATATTTTAATCTATTTTTTTTACCGTTTCTTTCCTATATATTTAGCATTAGATATACATGCTATAATTGGTCACAATGCAAATAAATAATTAAATAAATAAAAAATTGTATGATGTGTATATCTAGTTCGAATTTTGGCTGGTGATTAATTAATTCAATATATAATCACCTATCCGAAAAACAAAACCAATCGAACGACATCCGTTGTTCTTCAAATGTAATCAGATAAAAAAATAGTCCTTATTTTATAAAAATACATATTCCTCAATCTCAAATTTTTAAATTTATAATCATATATTTAAATGTATAAATTATTATTCAAAATGCATAAACATCTATCTAATGATTTTTTTTTGTTTTACACGCCTTGAAGGCGGTTCGCAGTTTCTACCAAAATTCTCCAACGATCCCTGTTATCCACCTCCTTCATTACTACTGTTTGATCCATTCTTTCTAGATCATTCTTTATACGGTCCATCCACCGCTGACGCGGTCTTCCTCGCTGTCTCTTCCTAGATGGATTATTGGTTAAAACTTTATTGATCAGATTCTGCTTCGCCCTCCCAACATGCATTTAATATATCTAATGATATATTAAATGAATAGTGATTAGTTATAATAACAATATTGTAAACTATACAATAATTTAATAATAAATTAATAATAATATGACCAAATGAAACATAATTTGGGTTGTTTTATAAATTTTGCAGTAAGCACAAGTATAATTAGTGAATTTATGATGTCAATGCATTATATAAAAATATATATTTAAAATATCTAGAGATGTACGCACAATAGGACGTAAGAAGGTTAAAAAAGTAATATACAATTGTTTTTCAGTTTTACTGATTATGGTAATTTGAATAATAAGGAATATTATTTTATCTTATTTTGTTTTATTGCATATTTCAAGTTATGCAATAGGTTATTATTATCATATCTCTCCACCATTTGACATTGGAAGTTTTCGTATAAATACGAAAAAGACACCTAGTGGAAATTAAAAGGTTGTTTAGGGTGAGATAGTGTTAGGCTGGTCATTTATTCTTTAATAAATTATTTCTCGTCGTGGACTCTGTTAAGCCACATCCTCACGGTGACATAATCTTACCCAGTCTACATTATTCTTTCATAATAGCACTAAATTAGGTATTTGAAATGTTTTATCGTTTTTGTTAAATAATAAATTGTTATAAATTTTACAAGTTTTAAAAGATAAATGATTGATTGTTTTAATACCTACCTTTCTCATAACTACCTTAAGCTAACGAAGAACGTGTTACGCAGGTGCGGATCTAGAACTCAAATTAGGGGTGGTATTTTTTTTGAAAGGACAAAAGATAATACAAAATTACAAAATAATAAACCTAATCTTGATGTTATGACCCCCATGACTCCCCCCAGGATCCGCGCCTGGTGCTATGATAATAAATTTATCTGCACAGAGTCCTGCACAGCGATTACTACAATCTGTTAATTTTTTTTTTTAAAAAGGCGTATGTAATAGTTTCATTTCGTATAGTAATTAATACTTCTTTAAAGTTCAGCGACTACAAAACTGTGGAATAATTTATAATAATAAGAATATAACCTTTAGTACAAAATATCACATGATTTCAAAATTAAAGGTTACCTAACCTTTAGTTATAAAATTACTGTTGCAATAAAAAGCGATGGAATTTTATTTGAATTTAAATAAATATATGGTGTCTAAAAAAAATTCAAATAATTCTTATAATCTAACAATACTATTGTAATTTCCTAAATCTAAATTACAGTTTAACAAAAAATATATGTTTTTAAATCTACTCATACAGTGTATTGGATATTTTTAAATGTTGTGATATATATACTTTTAAGTAATATTGCATATTTTTTCCATTTTGATACCGAAGCTTTAGTCGGATAAGTTGAACTTGATCGGAAAGCTGCAATATGTCCCAGATAAATATAATAAAAAGCTATCACCCCGCCACGTACATCATGCGGTAACCACTTGAATAGATCCAAAGTTTCCGGTTGGTATTTGTAGTACAATTGAATTAACCTCGAAGAGTATTTCCTTATCTTATTCTCACCTAGAGATCTAGCGTCCTTTTTGTCGCATAGTACCTTCAGTTCAGTCTCTTCATCGTCCAAAAATGAAGTCGGTATATAGGTTCGACCTACCGTAACGCTATCGTAGATGATGTCACGGGCAATATTCACGAGTTGTAAATCCTTGAATATTAAGATAGTTTCGTATTATGAAGATGCTAAAAAAAAACTGTCGGAAAATATTACTTACTCGTGCTAATTGCTGTGATTTTTCAACGATATTATCGTACTTTTCGACAATATCATTCATCCCGTTATCAGATCTATACATGAACGTAAAAATACTTATTGCACCGGAACTACCAGCCACATAATTACAATATTCCATTAAATCTTTTTCATTTCGAATCAACCTACGTTCAACATCCCATTTATAACCTTCAAGTAACTCGTAAAATGGCTTACGAGGCAAATAGAACGCTATTCTAGAGAATGCACGGCAACATGACATTTGAACATCAGTAAATTGCGATTGGTATAGTGGCCAATTAATTTTTGGTATGTATGGTTTTTTTTTAACATCGTAATCCGATTTTCTGCCAGCAAATAGTTCATCAAGAAACTGTATGAACAGCTTCAATTTTGGTTTTTTTTCTTCAATGTGTAATGATTTATCATCGATCATATCATCCGTTATTCGAGCAAATGTGTAAGAAATTAATAAATCCATTCGGATTCCTGAATTAAATACATTTAGCATTAAATAAATAGTTTGTTATATTTTTATACAGTTTAAATTTACTCTTATTTTAATAAATTATAGATTAAGAATCAAACTTAAAATAAGTTATCAATAAAAATATATTTGATGAAACTCCTGCCATTGAATTATTATATTCTACACTAAAATGTATAATGAAGTTAAAAAAATTACAAGTTGTATAATACTTAAAAATTGTATTTATGACTTTAAATTACAACTCTACTAGAAAAACCGAATATAGCATAATAAAAAAAGTTAATTCATAAGTGTTATTAATATATTTCATTATAATATAGTGTATAATTTATGTTTTCATTGAATAAAATTATTTACTAACTAAATAAAATCTCTAAACATTAAAATGTATAAAAATTAACACAATCAATTTTATATTAGAATTCAAATTATCGATGAAAAAATAATAAATAAATGTATGTTTGTTTACAGTATAAACTTTAAGCTTTTGTTTTTACAATGCTCAGAAACATTCGACCTTCACTAAGAATCGTTTGGCAACTACAATAATTATAATGATTAATTCTAACAGCAGGAATAGACTTAAATTATGTAATTAAGAATGTACAACTCCCATTTTTTAATCTCGATATTCAGTCGATGTTTTAAACGCTTACATTTAACCTATTTTTTTCTTCGATTAAAACTAGTAAATATTAAAAATTATTTTATGATATCTTACCGGATTGAAAGACAATACTAGAAAATCGGAAAATTTTTGAAGCGGAATTAACCAGTCTCATTAGCTTTGTTATGTCTTTTACCACTATCGAAGGCATTGAATATTCCGGGGTAATAAATGCGCAAAATAATTGACTGACGAACTTCAAATTAAAACCAAACCGTTCTGGAAATTCCATTGTAAATGTTTCCATCATACCACGAGCTTTATCGTATGAAAGTACTGCCAAAACAATGATCATATTTGTTATAAAGAAGTACAACAATTCTT